CTTGTGCAAAAGTTTCCGTATTCCCAACACCAAATTATGATTACATAACATTAGAACACCAACTTCTCTCCAAAAATTTCTTTTCAAGTACGTACCTCTTTGAATTATTTTTTAATACAATATATCAACTCAGCAACACATTGGTCAGACAAAACAATGTTAGTCATCTCAACAGGCTCGGGGGATAAACATAGGTGAATGTTTGCAGTCGTATAATATTGTGGAGCACGCACCATACCATTGCAAAAATTCTCGATCTTACTTTCTTCGAGCAAAAGCAGAGCCAATACCAAGGACTAGCAATTTATTCGTTTACGGCAGACACTCTCACGTATGATGAGTTGAATTTCACAATTTTCCCATTAATAACAACAGTTTACACATCACTTGCGCCATGGGACGTGCTCACAGAATTGACTGACATCGATAAGTTCATAAATGGGCACAGGTCCATAACCGTTGTACTTGAAAATCTCGATAAAGGGAATAAGCCCGTCCGTGTGCACTGTAATTGCAAGAAAGAGCGAAAGTCAAATTCCTTCCGTCTCCTGCCTCCCTGTCACTTATACTAGGGTAGTTGGGGTAACAATGATTTAACTGTGTTTCCACGCATTTTTTCCCTTCAGTTTTTCATTTGTCTAAAAACTATTTGATCATCTCTTTTAAGGTGGCATGGTTAAAAGAACACATTTGAAGTACGTGAACTTGTCCCTACCAGAACGCTGTTGCTATGATGCAAATCTCAGAAATACTTCGATAGGTTTTCTTATCAAAACTGTGAAGCAAAATTTGCGCACTGAAAGTATTCTTTGGGAAACGGCTCCTCGTTATGTTCTTGCCGTGCATTGATAAATTAGCAAAGAAAAAAATAACTGACAGGGAATTTTGGGCCAGTAAAATATCAAAGTGTAATGAACGTTCTTCCAAGGATGACTTCATAGGTTTTCGTGTACACATGGAAAATCGTTAGCATAAAAGCAAAAAGACACACAAAAGCTGCATTTACAAAGGTATGAAAAATGCATTGTATAGGCCTTTTATTCCGCAATGGGTCTGTGTCATACAGGTGTACAAGCACTAACCGTCCATGCTGCTATGATATATCGCTTCGCGCACTAATGTAAATTTATGAATTCCTTTATCACACATCCTGCCAAATGATATCACACCTTCCGATATATCTTGACAGAGTGGAAGTCTGCCACTGCTAGTTGCTTCCCATCCGCCAAGAATGTAATGCCGTAAGGGTTGTACAGATTCTGAGCCACACAGCTGATGAACTGACCTCTCATGTCATAGCGATGAATGTGACCACTGTCGTAGAATTCGGTACTTGCTGCCAAGTAAATATCCGAACTGTCACTGCACACTCCCCTGCAGCTTGCTTGCTCACCATCAATCGTTGGTTTGATGGTAACAATTTTCTTAGCGACGTTACCATCGGATACATCTACTATGTGTATTTTCTTCCTGTCTTTGTCACTAATTGCAATCCAATCGTTGGCAGCTGTCGCCAAGAAGTAAGGTTTTATCGCAACGGGTATGGTGTGTAAGAGTTCACCGTCTTGGGTTAGTTCAGTCAACACCTTCCTCTCACAGTCACCCACAATGATGTTTCCAGTTTTCTTGACTGCTACCCCGAAAAGGTTCACCCGTGTGTTACCAACCTCATTCGGGTGCACTGTAGGGAACTCGTGGATCAACTGTGCATCGTCTCTTCTGTACACTTTGACGGCCAGAGGATCTAACACTATCAGATAGTTTCGTGTAGCTGTGACGTCATCTGGGCAAAATGATGGAATCGGTTAAACTAGAGTACGGTGCGATAAAATGGACATTGAATAGGACGGATTTAATTTAGAAACATTGGGTTTATGCATCCGTTTTGAAATCTACAAATGTAACAAATGTAATGATCTTGTTTGGTTAACCTTACTTCAATTTATAACATGCGCTGTTTTTTTTTGGGGGGGGGGGGAATTGTAGATCTTAGGTTTATTTGCAAACAAGCAAAGTAGAGTCCTTACATAAACTAACCAAAAGAGGGTGTGTTTACACTGATGTAAAAGGACACAAAATCAAAAGTGAATCTTTTACGTTCCATTAAAAGTTTGTTTAGCTGTTGATGCCGTCCCAAAGAACCTTACTTGCTATTAGAGAGATGCTCTGCCAGCGGTTACCCTGGCTGTCGAAGACGACAACTCGTCGGTTCTTCCTGTCAGTGACTGCAATCACGTCCGGTTCAGCTGCGGCGATGCCTCGTGCACCTTCAAACTCTCTATGACCGCTGCCTTTTTTGCCAATAGTGCAACATAGCTCCCATACGTCTACCATCACAACTTTGCCAAGATCACCTGAAGACTTCCCCGGCAAGAACTTTGGGCGTGAGGACAGGCCGTCTATCTTCACCTTGGTAGCAGTAGGAAGTTCCTCCATCGATGACATGGCAGCAGGATAGTCCAGAAGAAATTTGCCGTCTGATTTGTTTTCAAGGACCATTTTGGCATGTTCCATTACGCTCGATAGCCTTTCCTTTAAGTCCGCCAGTTCTTTCTTTAAACGTGAACAACCACTTCGTGCTTTCCACTGTTTTTTAATTTCATTTATCGTTCGCGTTTGCTCTTCTCCCACCTGTTTTATTATGTTCTCAAGTTCTTTCCGGAAGCTTTGCTCTGCATCATCCACAACCTCTACGGCTTCCTCCATATCCCTTCCTCCAGAACTGCAACGCTGAATCTCCTGTCTCATTGTAGTCCTGCATCTGCTTGAGACTTCAGCGTTGTTGTGCACCACGTGCCCACGATGCTCTGCTGTTCTGCACTCTGGGCACAGGAGTGCTTTGCATTTTTGGCAATAGAAATTCATCAAATGTTTCTCATGGTCTGGACAAAATATTCCGTCCTCTCGTTTCTTAGGAGGCCGATAACCTTTAGTGAAAAGGAAACAGTGCAACCTTAAGTAGAAAAAATGTAATCGTTACTGAAAGCTGGTTGGGGGTCTTATTGGACAAACTGTAAAAATAAAATTGAGGACAATAGGAGCTTATTTAAAAAGTTTGCCCATATAGTAACAATCTAGACGTGTTGAAAGCAATCTACAACTGTCTTTAATATGCTTAAAAATATTTCTTTGATTTCTTGAACATCTACGTCTATGTGTATTGCTGGAGCTTAATCGTACAAATTGTACACTTTGTGCAATAACTTCAAAACATACAAAATGCGTTTTGATTGTCCTATTGGTACAAGTTGAGAATATCAGCATTAGAAAAAAAATGTTTACATCTTTCAACCACATGACTCTTAATTCGTTATCAATAAAAATGACAAAAATGTCACAACGTACGGGGTAAGTTTCTTAAAGTCATGGGTTATGGAATAAAACAGTTAGTGAAGAACAAAGTTGCAGGATAGCGTGATAACAAAATGCTCAAATTAACAAAGAGCATTTTGTGTCTTAAAGTGAAGGGATTATCTTTTCCTTTTAAAATGAATACTGTAATTCCTAGTCTTGTTGGGCCACTCTAGCAAACTTTCATTGGTGCATCTTGGAAGAGAATCGGCTATGTAGGGTGAAACCTCTCTTCTTTTCATTAAACAAATGCCAAACCCTGCCAAAGATGAGGACACTTCTTTTATTTAGTCAGGCAATCATAGATACAAAAGTTAAAATCCTCTGCACATTTAAACATACGAAAGCGTATAAGGGCCACTTGCCCCCCAAAAATTTCGAGTGACTAACTCGCCGCGGCGAGTTGGCCTTACACACAAGTGGCCCTTATACGCTTCCGTATAAACACTGCAGCTGAAACAAAAAGTCCATGCCTTTTGTGTGTGTGGTTTGGTGTTGCTTTTTTGCTGAAAGGGCCAACACCGAATCTTTGGTTCCCTCGGTCTTTTACAACAAACGAGGTTAGTTGGATGTGAACCACTGCACAGGAAATAAGAGACAAACACTAACGTCACAACAAAATGTTGTATCATTGTGAATGAATTACAAAAATCATACTTAGACTTTCGGCAAGGTCGTACCGGCGAACTTTTTGCAATGCTTCGCACAAAGTTCCAATCAGGTTGGTCCCCGTAGGAGCCTGTTGCTTCCATTTCAGGAGCATCTGGTAAATCCGGTTGTCGGTGTGGTCATGGTCTGCCTTAATTTTCTGTACCTCAGAGTTATTAAGTCCAAGGAAAATTCCCAGTCTTTCCCACTCAGCGCCAAGCTCGCCAGCAAGCTCTGCGAGGTCTTGATCTTTTGATTGTGGAGACAAAAACAACACCGATGACAATTTTTGCAGCAGGCAAGGTAGGGTTCTCTTTTTCAACATTTTCCATGGTCTTTTATTCAAACCGGTGTTGCATCTTACAGTTTATTTCTTCAATTTTTCAATACAAACAACTGCTTCATCTTGAAATATAAGTTTTCTTAAAAGTGTTTCATNCCCAAATTTAATGTTGCATGAAAAGGTGTGCAATTCAAAGCATGTGTAAATCAAAGCATATCATAGCAGTAGCAACTACAAACCTGTTATTACTTGTCCTTGAACATCACTACCTCCCTCTGCCATGTTTTGTGTGTACAACGTCTGTTAAGCCAATTCTGTTCAAAGTAAATAAAAAATTTGCATTTTTTTTCAAATTTTGTCTGAGCTTTACGTAAAGAAAACCTTCACCGTCAGTGACTAAAGTGTGACTCAAAGCTTATGTAAACATTGCTCAAACGTCCTAGCTATCAAAGGATGGTTTCTGTCAGAAAGTGCTGATTAACATCAAAAGGTCAGTTATGTCACACGTTTTCCAATTTTTGGAATATGAATACGCCAAAGTTAGCTCTGGCCGAGGGAACAAAAATACTACAGTTAGATGAAATCTTAATCACTTTTCAGCAAAATAAAGAAATATGACATATAAGAAATACAAACATACGAAACCATGTCATGAAACAAAAAAGGGTAGCCAGAAGAAAACGTCTATTTCTTTGAAGCGTTTTCTTGCTAAACATACCTACTGTGGCAAAACATCGGTTGACGGCTTTAGACTCCAAAACGAAACAATAGATAGGATTGGTGTATATAGAGCCTTACATGGGTTTTCAAACTCAAAGTGTTATGCATTAAAATAGACAAAATATATACATCTAATTGACATCTAATCAAAACGAAGTAAACATTTCTCAAAAAGTAAATTGAAGAATAACTCAAATTAAGAACCACAAATCTACCACTAAGCTACGAAAGCACATACTTCTCAGAAATTTAGTTACTAGTGAAATTAGATAAGAGTTAGCTACTGTCAAATTCTACAAAAGAGATTCAATTTTAGGGACCATCTCACGACTAAGGGTGGATTCAAGCCCCGAAATCAGGGCTTGCCTGTAACGACACGCTAGGTAACGTCATCTGTGAAGTTTCATTCATTTTGTTTTTATGGTTATTATTATGTAATTCATGGCCGCATGCGTGCGTATTCGCCTTGTGCATTGAACATATGTGCCAATGGGAAATTTTGACATTTGGCTGACTTGTCTCAGATGTTTTGTTAAGGTTGTGTCTTCACTTTGCACAATCTGGGTATCATAATCATTGCCAGACATTAGTGAAAACCTAGCTCACTCTAATGTTAACGCAAGTGACACTGCATTGTTCATTCTGGGAATCAATTTATAAGAACACTTATATGGGGAGGGCAGAGAATTATTACATACCCAAGAAAATTTCTGGTGGCAAAACCTCTCTACGGCGTAGGCTGGAAACTCCTGGCTTCTTACCTGCCAACAGATGCGCTTTAAGCACAGGCAGAGTCACACAAATGAACTGGCTTGGTGGCAAGAATGATCCAATATGTCAAACTTTCAGCATCACCGAAAGTATCGCCGTATGGTAATATGGCGCATTTTTTTAGCTTCCTTGTACAAAACACAATGGGTGAATGCTAGTATCATGAGGAAAACGCAGCACAGGTTCGCCCCTCACGGGTCATTGATCACAGCGCAGAGTTACAACGAATACCACAACAAGGCCACGGCTTTCTTATAAATAGACTTATTCGATAGTTCAGCCCGGTATAAAACGGGTTTTCCCCAAGCCCTTTGGTCCAACTCTGAAATCACATGCAAAACTTTGATGGGCTGTGATTTCTTCTTTTTTTTTTCTTCTTCTTCTTTTTTTTCTTTCCGTCGTTTTTTTTTTCTTTTGCTTTCTTTTTATACAGCATCCTGTATAAGCCGGGCTTGAATAAAAGCTAAAGTTCGAGGAAAGTCTCTGTTTTAATAAAAACCTGCTTTCAGTGGGATCCTAGTTTCTTTGCACATATTTTTCCTAAATGGCGGAAGCTAACACGAGGTATAGTCTCTTCTAAAAACTGGCAATAAAACTGTCGTCCCAAAGGAATGCATATGGCATAGCCCAAAATTGTTGTTCTGAAAATTGCACACAGGCCAGCCATGACCAGAAACTCTGTACACGGAGCATTGTCCAGGATGGAGTTCAGAAACACGCATGCTCAATCTGATAATTAAGCCCACGCAACAGCCTAAGCTGGAAACAAACTTCGTTTGCTGGCTTAAAAAAGATCGAATATCTACATGAATCGGTATAACTAAATATTACCAAAAGTTTGTTCTTGTTGGCAATAATTTTTGCCTCAAATGGACATTTTTTCAGCTTATTAAAGAGCGTATATAATTGACTGAAGCTGATTTATTTGCCGTATTTGTATTTGCTGAGAATTCGTTGGAGAATTTGTTGTTGAAGTACTGACGGTCTACTAGGGCTAAGACTTAACAGTGCAAGAGTTTTTGCAGTGGCTAATTTTGCTGCATGAGCTACTCGAACGCTCCTACTCAATGAAAACCATTGTCCAGCAATCATGGAGCACGAGCATCAATTCTGGCAGCATGGAGGTACCCCTGCTCGTACTTGACCGTAGTACTGGTGTTGAAGGAGAAGATACTTCAGAGAGTATAGATGGGACCGGAGGAGTGCAACCAACGGTTAAGCGAGATTTAACTGTCAATAGGACAGAGGGTCATATACTGATGATTGTCCCGAGTACATAAGCATTGACTCCGAACTGTAAAAATATCTGGGTTAGGGTTAAAACTTGTGACTTCCTAAAATTTGAGTGGTGTCAACCTAATTTGGGAGGCTGACATTAATGTCTGGTTTGTCCTAACCACAAAAAAGTGGTTGATATTAACTCATTTTGTTAGACAGTATCTAATCTTTGTTCTAATCCCAAAAATTGGGTTAACACAACTCATTTTAGGATACTTGCAATTTGCACCCCCTTGGGTTCAAATTCAACCCCAGCAAATTTTCAGTGTTAACGCGGTTTGATTTAGGAGTACTTCGCACGTAAGATTCTCCTACGTAATTCAAGAATTTATTCTGAGTAGCGGGCAAAACTGGCAAGATTTTTACAGACGTTCTCGTTGATTACTTGTTCACTAGAAAGCATACTACAACAGACTACCCAAATGCAAAGATACAAGAGCCTGCTCGAGGTAAAGATAAACGGAGCCCAAAGATAGCCAGCCCATATGTCGGTCACGTCCGTGTTCTATGCTCGTGAACAATCGAAAGCCGCCCAACGAAGCGCTCAACGAGCTAACAACGTTAACACTCCCGCTGAAGTGTGAAAAGATGTATATGACAGGTTTCGGCTGCGGACTTTTCTATACTATTCTGTACGGTGTTACAGTCGAGACTAACACAATCCAATCAATGGCCGTCACACGACCAGCGATATGTAACAGGGTGAACAATGAAAACTACTCTTTTTTCACAGTGTTTGAATAGTTTCAGCTTAAGCGGAATGACTTTTGACAGACTTGCGAGGATTTGCAGGGACTTTTGTCGGACTGGACGTTACACTGCTTCCATTTTTTCTGTCATGGATAAAGCTGATATACTATTCTTCTAAAACCATACTTTATTCATTGCTAGTGAATGTAAATATTGATAAGATATTGTCATTTAGAAGTTTTACAATGCTTTTTGTGACATGTTAAATTGTCAGTTGCCCTCCTTTCAGTGATTTTCCCAAGGCCAGTGAGTGTGACCCAACCACAATCTTTCTGATATTAAACATTTCAGCTCTGGTCATGGGGAAATTGTACAGTACATGGAGGAACTTGTAGTTACAAACCAGAAATATCTGGCTGACAATTTCTTGACTCCAAACGTGAACAGGATATACGTAGACATAAGAAATAAATAATCTTTTTCTGACTCTGATTTTTTGATTTTCGTGTCAATAGAGAGCTTGTACCTTATATTTCATAGATATGAATATCTATGTGTATATAGATATATATCTATGAATATATCCATAGATATCATTAGTATATTTATTTCTTACTAACTTGCAGAGTTACTGTTACACACACGTTGTATAGAATGATGTGTACTTAGTAGAAATAAACAAAGAGTGTACATCCGAAATAAGTGTATATATGCAGTGGTAAGGAAAAATGTATGTGATTCCATCGATATTCAATGAATGAAATTCAAAAATGAACAATGGAAATACCAGTTATAAGGCCTACATTGAAAGATCGCATCCATTTATTGTGATTTGAAGATCATCCTTCCAGGGCTCGACATGAATGTTGTTTCTGCAGTCAAACCCAATGCTTGTCGCTGGTGTGGCGTGACGTATTCTGACGTGTAATTCTGAACCCAAAACTAAAGACCGTAGATTTGAAAAATCCGAAAGAACAGAAATGTTTGGACTAAAGCTACGCAGTGTGAAAACGAAGGTTTCGAATCAGGAAGACGCTTTGTGGGCTGAATCGGAGAGAGAGGATAACGAACGGTTGGTTGAAGACGAGTCTAATTCAGAATTGGAAGACAAATTCTGCTGTCTAGTCTGGTTACATGTAAGTGATCATGGGAAACTTGGGAGATTTGGAGAGATAAATATGAATAATACTTCGACAAGGATGTGGATGAAGATCAAGGAATGGAAAAAGCTGAAAGGCAGACTTTATGGGCAGTCAAACAAATCTATTCCAACAAGTACAGGATGTTTTGTCAAGTGACCTGCATAAATTATAGAAGATATGATCAGAAGGATATTTTTGAAGACCTTAAAGACAAAATAAAAAAGATGCAAACTTTTTCAACGAGATAAATAGGTATATATAGCGATGAAGACGGCAATGCTTAAAGACCAGTAGCTGGATACCATTTTATCTTTTACAGCAAGTTTACTGGTGAATTTAGTGCTAAAGAAAAAAACATATAAAACAGTCACTCATGTAAGTCACTCTTACAGTAATCCAACATTATGCTTGTTTCACACATTACGTGACATTCAGGAGTTCAATAATCAACTTGTAAAAAAGGATGGTGAAAATGAAAAGGTAAACAAAGTTATACAAGTAACCCACTGGGTTTCGGCTGATTGTGATTTCTACTAAATTGTTTTATTGTGTTTTGAAAGAAATTGTTTTAACACGCTGTACTTGTACAAAGTTGGGTCGTTTTTAGTGATACGGCCAAAAGATACTAACTGTACAGTCCCCGTGCATGACTGACTCCATCTCAAGCTAACAGGTTGCGGTGGCTAACACCAGGTGAAGACACCACTTTAGCGGCTAATCGCACACTATCGATTCTTACATGTTATTCGTGTAAGCAAATGGAGTGCGCTCGTGGCGATGTTAAAGCGCAGCTGGATTCTGTCACCGCTGTACCAACTCTTCTGATCACTCTTACTGACAAGACAATCTTGGCGCAGCCTTGCGATACATCTTGACAGAGTGAAGGTCGGCCACTGCGAGCTGCTGTTCATCCGCTTTGAATGTGATTCCGTAAGGATTGTACAGGTTCTCAGCCACGCAGGTGATGAACTGACCCTTGATGTCGTGGTGGTGAATATGCCCACTGTTGAAGGAGCCGGTGCTAGCCACGATGTAGATACCTGATCTATCGCCACACACTCCCCTGCAGCTTTCCGCCGGTCGGCCGTTGATATTTGGATGCAGGGTGGTAACTTTCGCAGCGACACCCTCTGAAAGATCCACTACTTGTACTGTTGCCTGTTCCATGTCACTGATCGCAATGAGGTCGTCATCCAGCACCGCCAAGAAGTAGGGTTTTAACTCAACCGATACAGTATGTAGGAGCCTACCATCCTGGGAGAGTTCTGTCAACACCTTCCTCTTGCAGTCACCCACGATGATATTACTGTTCTTTTTTACTGCTACCCCGAAGAGGTTCACCTCTGTCTTGTCAATCTCATCCGGAGGCACTGGGTGGAACTCACGGATCAGCTGCGCGTCATCTCTGCTGTATAACTTGACGACGAGAGGGTTAACAACTATCCACACCTTTGGAGTAGCCGCAATGTCATCTGAAACCAAAAAGAGACCATATTTTCACATAATATGACATAAGAAAGATTAACACTTACTGTTCTCGTAAAGAATGCTTTAGAACAAAGCAGCTTTCAACAAATCAACTGTTTACTTAGCTCTGGTCTCCCAAACAGTCGTTGAACCGATAGTGAAACCAGGTAACATAAGTTGTCCAGAATGTATATGAAATAATCTGACGATATAGTTCAGTGGATTCTTTTCTTGTATTATAGCCATAGTACCACTAGTTCAAAGAATCCCAGTTTTGGCAGTTCCAAGAATTCCATTTGACCATGCCGCCACAAATTTAGCAATTTCTGGAAGATATTTTCATTAGAAAATGAACTGGATATTACACTGAAATTTTAATAAAAAACTTTTCAGAAAAAAGGGGTCTCTCTGGGGAGTCAGTTTGTACTCGGAATTAACAAATAATATAATCATAAGCACCTACTCAGTTTCCCTATATGATTTGTTCATAACTTATGTTCAAAAAGCTGTATCTTCTTTGAGTGATCCCTGTTCACCATCGTGATAACTGGGGTGTGATCCCTGGCTACATGGTGTATCAGATTTAATGGCTTCTAGCTAGCGCCAGAAGCGCCATAATTAATGTTTTTCACGTAAGATTTGTAAAACGTCAAAGCAAGTAAAATACATCATGAGATAAGGGTTGATGCAAAGTTTACGTCGATTAAAAAGAATCCGCGTTGAGAACTATCTTGAAGGAATCGGAACGAAAAGAAACATTGATGGGATCGAGGTGATTACCAAATTTCGTAAAACTGTTGGTATGAAGAAACTATTGCAAATGACATGCAATGGAATGGCCACTTCAGGGATTTCACGCCGCGGCAATTCTGTTCCCACTAAAAGACGATATTTATTTCATTGAATTATACACGTATAGGTACCTGCTTGCAAGTACGATTTACTTTACCTAATTCAAAATCAGGTTTATGTGTTAAAGCTACCCTCACACGGGGCTTTGCGATTGGAATCGCGGCACTCATCAAATTATTTGAGAGAAGTAGCCAAGGTGTCTCAAAACGCTTTTCGGCTTTATCAACCTTCTCTTTTTCAAGGTGTATTTTTGCGTTGGGGAGATGTTAATTAACCTTTTCTTAGTTATTAACCTTCTCTTAGTTCGCAAAGATGTGCGCGGGAATTTTTAACATGTTCAAAATTTCTACCGACTGTCGCCATTCCAGTTTTCTAGCCAGATCTTCTCAACCTAGCCTCAGGGTGCCCTCAATGGCTGCCAAACCATCTAAAAAATGTCGTTAGCTTTCGGCAACTGTGAAAATCTGCGACAGATTGAAAAAGCTTTTGAGAAGCTTGCCGAAGTTGACAGAATTTTGAAGATTCTCTGGCGTATGTCTCGAGACTATTTTGCGAACCCTGGCAGAAGTTTTGTGAGACGCCCGGAAATGTGGAGATAATGTAGACTGATGCTAACCTCGTTTTTTTAATACTAGCCGGACAGTGGCCGCAGAATGTGATTTGGGTTGCACGATGAATACAAATGTTTTGGCAACGGTCTCCAAAGTTGCATTCCCTTCACGTACGTTTGCGAAGGGTGCGATAATCATCTTAAAGCCGGTGCACAAACTGCGTGAGATTTGATAAATGTTTTGCTACTCTTGCCAACATTGCAACACAAAATTGACAAGTTGACCAAAAGCACAGCGAATTTTGCGTGACTGTCGTAAGACATAAGTCGAAAAACAGTCGCAGAGATTTACAAACAAGTACAAGTCGCAGCCATTCTCGAGCAAAAGTGCCCCGAACCTAGCTAAACTCGCCAAAGTCAACAACGCTAATGAGAGGTCACCTTAAAATTTAAGTTGGCCTTACATAATGTAAATAGAAATATTGGAAGAAATCTTACTTGTCACTGCGTTAATGCTCTGCAAGCAGTTTCCTTGGCTGTCGAAGATCACAACTCGCTTATTTTCCCTGTCTGTGACGGCAATCCTGTCCGGTTCGGACGTGGTGATGCCGTGTGCACCTTCTAACTCTCCAGAGTTTCCGCCCCGATTGCCGATGGTACCGCACTGCTCCCAGACATCTACCATCACTACCTTGCCCAGATCGATGCCGTGTACAGCCTGGCCCTGCAGGAACTTGGGTCGCGAGGGCCGACATTCGGTCTGTGTCCCGACGACGATAGGAATCTCTCTGGCCAGCTCCTCCAGCGACTTTGCAGTAGCTGGATACTCGAGGAGAAATTTACTGTCCGTCTTGCTCTCCATAACTACTTTAGCATGTTCCATCATGCTTGTATGCTTTTCCTTCCAGTCGGTCAATGTCTTCCTCAAATTTGAGCACTCGATGTGAACTCTGCGCTGGTTTTCTATTTCATTCAGCCATCGCTTCTGCTCTGCCTCAATCTGTTTCATGGCTCGGGCGGCTGCTTCCTTCACATCCTCGAGTGCCTTTTCGAAACACTGCTTTACTTCTTCCACAACCTGCAAGGCCTCCTCAATCTCTCTCCCAGCTGAGGTGCAGCATTGAATCTGGTCTCGCAGTGTCGTTTTGTATTTGATCGAGACTTCAGCGTTGCTATGCATGACATGAGGCTCAGGATGGTTAGCGGTACTGTAGGGGCAGACGAGTACTTGGCAGGTTTCGCAGTAGAATTGCTTCACGGTGTTCATATGTTGGGGGCATATTATTTCGTCTTCATGTTTCTTGATCTTCTGGGGACCTGAATCGAAAAAGAATCCCCCACTCATAATAGAAATGAAGATACTGCTGGTGTACCGAATTTGGCTTTGGTGCGTTTTCATTGCGTTTGCCAATTTTTCAATATTGTTGGCCATAAAGCTAAGGGCAGAGATAATTTCATTCAGTGCCTTTGTATCGCCTATTCTCGCTTTAGGTTTTTGATGATAGTTTTGGTGTAAGTGGTGGTTGTAGTTTAGGATTGGGTTGGGTTGTGTTGGGTTGGATTAGGGTTACGTTAGGTTAGGTTGGGTTTGGTTAGGTTGTATTGGGCCAGGTTTGTGGTCATGAAATGGTTGACAAACTATGGCTAGTCATCAGTAGCAAGACAAACGAATAAATCGAAAATTGTTAAAACATCAAGCAGAAATTAAAAAACCTATGACGTAAATATATATAATGTAAGACACACATCGCGTGCTGCTCGACATCACTATTACCAATTTGTCTTACCTGACAGCTTTTCGACAAGATCGTTCCTACCAACGTCCCTCAACGCTCCCTGTAAAGTCCCGATCAGATCTTCTTCCTTGGCCTGTTGCTTCCATTTCAGGAGCATCTGGAAGATCCGATTGTCTGTTCCTTCAAAGTCATACTTGATTTTCTCGACCTGTGCAGCATTGAGACCGAGGAAGGCTGCCAATTTCTGCCACTCACCAGCCAGATGATCGGAAAGCTTGCCGAGCTTTCGGTCTTCACAAATGGGAGGCAAGAACAATACAAGTGATTAATTTTGTAGATGACAATGACAACCATGTTCTGAATGATGATATCATTGATAAATCTTGGCCTTTACTTTGCGTTATTTTGTACCATATATTGTTTCGTTTATTCTGTACGCACAAGCACTATAGTAGGTTTTGTAGTACATGCTTAGAAATTATGAAAGTTGGTTCCTTTCATCGTATTTCTGCCTTACAAAGAAATCTTTGCTCATCCGACCATTTGTTTTTCCTGTCTCTGTATTTTAAAATAATACCCAATGGATACACTGGACATTGGAATAAAAATTTCAAGGTTTTGAATGTAAAATCTTGACTTTAAAAATGGAAAATGCAATTCTCAAAATGAGGCAAAACCGTTTTGTCCTCGAAAATATGGAGGAATCGGAACCATGAACATACAAAGGCGTACTACTCAAAATGTGTCACAGCGCACACTGCAGTCTATACCTGTCAATCCTTGTTCCATATCGTCAGGACCCCCCTCCGCCATGTTCTGCCTGTACATAGAACGGTTGTCCACTCCTATTCAAAGACGTCGAGAAATTTTGTTCATTTTATCCTAAAACGTGACCGTTTTGTTCCAAGTCAACAAGCATCTAAGTCAAATGTAGAGGGGCCATGTTCTGCCTGTACAGAGAACGGTTGTCCACTCCTATTCAAAGACGTCGAGAAATTTTGTTCCTTTTATCCTAAAACGTGATCGTTTTGTTCCAAGTCAACAAGCATCTAAGTCAAATGTAGAGGGGTTTTCCTGGAGTCCTTTATCTACAAGTGAAAAACACAGATATCAATGGGTATATTGAATTCTATTTCAATATATCTAAATTCATGTTTTGATCTATCATTGCACTAGTTATAAGCCTTGACAGATCAAGGGGAAACGGGGGGGGGCATGCCATTCCCCAAGGGGCCCAACGACTGGGACATAAAGTTACATGGACAAACTTTCATCTGGTTTATAAACCCCGGCCCAAGGATAGATGCGGTTTCCAAAATGCTAACGTATTCCTTGTATGTCTAAACAACCGGCCACATATGCAAACCAAGAATGTGACCTGCAGCATTCCTCCATTATTCTAAAGTGTAGAGTTATGTACAACTGTGACACGCCATAATATGCATCCTCATAAACTATTTTCCGTCAAGAAATAAAGGGAGTGTATCAAACTTAATACGAAATATCACCCAACACCCAGTGATACAATGTGCTAAACACTTGCCACTATAAAGTGCATAGTCCTAGCTAAGGTACCTCGTGTGAATTAACTCTAAGCCTCTTATTTTTCTCAGAGAAGTATTCTGTATGTAAGGGAAAACAAATTATCCGTTTATCAGTAACATACTTTAACTTCAAGAGGATTCCCCGACACTCCCCAATTCACAGTTTCCAGGATTCCTTATGATTGCTAATTTTTTTTTAATGTAACCTACATACCGTATAAACTTCAGTAGTGCTTGTTAACTTCCGACTAACTTGTCGTGAGTTCCGATATTGCAGAAATGGCTGGGTAAAACGTCCAAATAACTAACCTCCAACACCACTCTAACGCGCAACTCTACGCAATGCAGCGGCTTATAATTCACACTACTACTTTGCGGCAACTAAACATTGCCGGTACGATACACCTACAAGCGAAAACAGGGCTTTTTTTTTAAAGCTTCAAAAGACGAGGCTTTGTTCTGTATTTGCGTGATAATACAGACCGGTTCGCGGTTCATTGCGCAGAGTTCCAACAAAGTGCCGAAAGAAGTGGCAGTGCTCACGACAAGGCCATTGCACCCTCATACTGTGTAAATCAGTCGCTCATGCAGTGCGTCGTTGCGTACGTATTAAAAGGCTTCGAGAAAAACATGGCTTGCGAGTAGAAGAGCTACCAAATTGACACATTGGAAACCTTTTTGACGGCTCATACCGTGAGCAGTGTATTATATCATTGTCGCTGTAAATTATAGATTATTTTCACAAAATCGTTATGGCGTTTGACCCAGTACCTGCACTGAAGTAATACAACTTACGTATGACTGTACTGAGCATTTTTTTCTTTGGTGAGTTCAAATCAAAAGGGAAAAAGCTTTCTAGGACCAGACCTGTTACTGCACTAATACTCATTCTCTATTATTAATTTTCATTAGAAATGTAACTTGATTTGTTGTATGCATTAAGTGTCATTTGAATGTATGCCCGAAATGCCTTACAAATACTTTCATCATAATATATAATGTCGGTGAGATTAGTGGTAAGATATATACATGGCTTCGTCCAGGGGCAAGGTGGTCTGCTATTGCGGGTTGGCGCACCCCAAACTGCGCACCTTACCCTTATCTAGCGGAATGAATACGCTGGAAAGCTGCATTTGCCTTTCATGTGTGAATCATTGCTGTTTCTTGGCATTCGCGGATCAGCCCTCTTCATCTTTTCGTTTGAAAAATATTACAAATGTGGCTTTACTTAAGATTGTTATAAGTGGGCTGGGCTCCAAGGCCCTCGGTGTCTGTGTCCCTCAATATGACGCAAAAGTGCAGCGAGAATGATTGATTTAATTTATGTTGAATTTCATTCAGGAACTTTGTTTCAGCTCTTGCCTGGTGTGGAGGCTGCTGCTGCTGCTGCCATGTTGTCGTAACATTAACCCGTTATATCAATCACTCCGTCCTTAATCGTAAGCTTTTGAGAAAACAAGTGTCAGTTGTTACTGCTTTTACGCAACTTTTAGGGTTTGGTTGTTCTACGGGAGCAAGAAAAGATGTGAAAATGCACAAAAGAGAAAAGTTACTAGTGGCTTACAATCTTGACATATTACTTATCAAGCTCAACTTGGTGCAACCAATGTAATAATTTACATAATTTACCAAGCATGGCATCAATGTAAGACATTCCCATTCTGTCCGCTCTCTACTTGCTCCTTTCCTGTAAGTTGCTCGTTTCCATTCTTAACTTTTCAGACCTCAATTATGTGACGAATGTTTTCACCCATATTCCTATGGGTCATAGTGACCTTCAAGCTTTTCCAGTGCATCCCCCATCTTTGGTTTATTTTGTAGGTCCCAGTGCCTTAAGTGCTCCTCTTCGTTTTTGCCCCACCTGTCGTTGGAACATTTTGTGAAGTCACTTTCAGCGGCTCCTCTATTTGTGCATTTGCAAGCTCTATATGGAGCGTGAACTCTTCTTTCCGTCTTTTCCACAAAAATTGAAGGCTCTGACTTCCATGTCGTTGTTATAAGGTGGTTTGGTCTGTCCAGTTTGTTGTTGTTTTTTTTCTAGAAGATCTAGAAGATACGTACAAAATATGATTTGGCTCAGCAGTTCAACTTTATACTCCAAATAATGCCCGATTAGCCAAAAATGGTAAGTGCGTTACTATCCCCATGAAAACTACTAAACCAAGGCACCGTGGACGTAGGTCAAGAACTGAGCTAAATTCAGCAACTTGTCTCCAGCAACTGTCAACAGTTTCTTTCTAGTTTCCTTTATATACAACATCCTCGAGTGATCCTACTAGGTAAATTCTCTTTGTTCACAAGATATGATTTTTTAACCTGGCATTCTGTCATATTGGAAGAACAGTAAATTCCTTTATGCACAGCAAACTTCGTTTGATTAATTCTCATTTCCTGTCAACTTCCGTCTTTTTGACCAGTGGACCAAATACCTTGCATTTCGATATCTACTTTGCTTCGGGGAGATGTGAATTTCAATTACAGGGCTTGCTAACAACAGATGTATATTCATAATCACTGTATACTCAGTGCTTGCCCGCAAACATGCGAAAAAAACAACTACACAGGAAAGCGCACCGGAGTAGGCTTGTGAATTAAGCTAGTTAAAGTTAAAGCTAAAGTTTATGTACATATGTTGGGTTAGGGCAAAAGCTGTAATTCAAATACCCTGTACTAATTCTGACATGACGTGCTATTCCTTAGGTCATTTCTTTCGTGTGACTGTCACATCTGACGTATGGTTTTGAAAGTTTAAAACACATTTTCTAATTTCTAGGATAATGCAAATAAACTGCCAAACAAATAGTAATAGTTGAAACCAGTTCTGTTGATATTTCCATGTCAAATAGCAAAGGTCAGATGTAACATGGACTCAAAAATGCCACACGTTTGGGCCCCTAATATCTGGAATTACCCTCCTACGCATTTTGCAGTATACCGTTCTGACATGCGTATTGCCATTTTTTTCTGTGATTTACAAAGCGTGTAGATACTTTGAGTGCATGGTTTACCACTTTGGTCGCTCACGTTTTACGGACATGGGAACAGTACTCAGAAAACGTTCACCCAGCACAGAATTTTCCCCTTGGGTGTTCAAGGTGTATCAGTCTTTTAAAACTGCACCAAGAAAAATCTCAAATAAAAGTTGATCCCTATCCATCCTCTTTACTTCGCACGGCGTTTGGACTTAGGCATAGAGGCGGTCCAGTAGCTAGGTTTAAACGCTTTTGCTCTTCCTTAATCTGCTTCTGGATCCACCTAAGCATATAGCATAATATAGTAGTCTTGTCCAATACGTCCTTGAAGCGAGACAAATGGGAAAACCCTTTCCAGTCCCCTCCGCCATCACAGATCATACCCTCCCCGAGGTTTTGGGGGTTGACAAATCATTGCTATTGTTTACGTGAAACCAAGTGAATATCACGCCAGAATATAAACCTTATTATGTAAGAGAACGCGTTACGGCCAGCTCGACCACTTTGCTGGGGGGTTGGCACGTTAAAAAGGACAAGGCCCACGTATTTTGATCAGAAAGAGTCTGATGCTTTCAGGTCGGTAATAGCGTTCACTTTTATATGCAGTGTCTGGTCAATATTTTAGAACTTTCACGCAAATTTTGATGTCAACAAGTTAAAATCTTATGCACCCAAATGGCTATAACAGAAAATTAAAAGAAAAAAAAAAGACACGGCCCCCCCGCGAAATACAAAAAAACAAAGGAAGAGTGGTTTAGCTACTGACTGACAGCACCCTCAATCGTATCATGCATGCCATTTTTTCCGGGGAAAGTGAATCGGGCCCCGAACAGTTCTGCTAAATAACATGTTATATTTTGTGCTGAATCTGATACGTGGTTTATTTCTTCAGATACCTTGCCATTGAAGCCAGCCTCTTTACAGCAACTTCCTTATGTAATTGGGAAGATAGCACCGTTCCTGTCATTTTTATAACATGTTTTTACTATGTTGACTTCAGTTGTCATATATTCAGTTATGTCAAATGTTGATCTAAAAATATAGCTCAAAATACCCCTTTCTCTAACCCTATCCCCAACAAC